AAATACGAAAACTGCGATATTTTAGTAAATACTGAAGATAATTCACTCAAAATTGATAATTACAATAATTTTTAGACGAAAAATAAGAATTTTTTAAATTTTGGCAACCGCTGCACCGATTTCTTCCAAACTTGGCACAGTTGTTGGCTTTGGTACATCACACCAAATGGCCGAAAATTTTTAAAATCGGAAAATGACCACGCCCACATCCCATATAACGGTAATTTTCAGAAATACGAAAACTGCGATATTTTAGTAAATACTGAAGATAATTCACTCAAAATTGATAATTACAATAATTTTTAGACGAAAAATAAGAATTTTTTAAATTTTGGCAACCGCTGCACCGATTTCTTCCAAACTTGGCACAGTTGTTGGCTTTGGTACATCACACCAAATGGCCGAAAATTTTTAAAATCGGAAAATGACCACGCCCACATCCCATGTAACGGTAATTTAGAGAAATACGAAATCTTCGATAAAGCAGTAAATATTAAAGCTAATTTATTCTAAATTGATGCTTGCAGCAATTCTTTACCAAGAAATACGTTTATGATAAAATTTTGGAAAACGGGCGTGGCACCGCCCACTTATTATCACATATATGTATCTCGGTAACCGTTCTACCAATTTATACCAAACTCGGTATGGTTATTGTGCTTGCCACATAAAAGCAAAACGTTCAAAATTATTGAAATCGGACTAAAATTACCGCTTTTCATATAACGGTAAATTTTAGAAATGCTTGAAACTTCAATATTTCGAAATTTAAGGACGCTAGTTTACTCAAAATTGATAAACCCCGGATTACGATGTAGCGGTAGCTTTCGGAAAGGTGGAAAACGTATATTTAATATTTGCGCCGGGTATTTAATGTTCGGCTCCGCCCGAACTTAAACTTTCTTACTTGTTTATAATGACATTTGCTAAAATTTCAAAATCAACAGTTATCAAAAAAGTCTCTAGGGGAATGAGAAATATTATTTTCTCCTTTTTAGTCCATTTATAAAAGCGATGTATATTAATTCGATTTTTTATATTATTTATTTTCTACTTTTTAGTCTTGTCTGTATAAAATTTTGCAATGGATATTAAAATAATTCAACGATATTAATAGATTGGTACACACACATGCATATGCATACATACGAGCACCAATTAATTTCATTTAAAGAAATGGCGTGTCGTCCATTTCCGCTGTAGTGTACGCAGTGCATAGGGCGACATCTTCCTCTCGAACCAACGAGGTTGATGTCTAGACTTTATAGGAACTTTGCAAAGCAATGGTTTTATAGCTGTCTGGGCACACAACATTGAAAGTGACTGGACACACAACATTGCAAGTGTCTAGACACACAACATTGCAAGTTGATAAAAGCGTTGTAAAAATACTTGCTTCCGTCAGGCTATGTATGTACACTTACATATACATGCACACTTAATTTTAATATGAAAATATTATTTTTAAATAAGAGCATTTTTACTATGCGTTATTTCCCTCAGTGTATCTACTTCTATCTATCTACTTGGTACTTGGTGTTCGGTAAACTTTCCCAATGTATTTTGTTTGTGTAAAATTATTTTATTATGGGTGTACCGGTTACCGAATTATCGTGATGGATGCTTGATGATTTTAGTTGGTAAACTGCAATCAGTTGTTCGATATTTATTCACTTTTAAATCCGCCCGCTGCCGAAAGGCATAACGCATATGGGCAAATCTAAAAAACAGGTACCTTTTTGTTATTTAGCTTTATTTTCACTGTTGTAAACTAAATCAAGCTGGTTGCTTTTGGATGTAATTCATTGACGTATACTTGAAGCCTCAAAAAAATTTGGATCAATTTGCTGCATAACTTTTGTAATATAGGTGTTCAAATTAAAAAACATAATGAAAACAAGTGAATTTTTTATGTTATTTTTAAGAGGGGCACAATTAATTATGTCACAACTTTTGAAGCACACCATATTCTGATTTGAAATTTAATGAGCATTTAGCACTTATGTGTACACTTCATATGTAGTAGGTAAGAAAAGTGTGCATTCAAAAATAACGAAATGGCAAGTAACCCACAAAGTCTGTAGCTCGACATTTCACAATTTTCAAAATTTTCGGTTTATTGGGCATAGGTTTTGAAGCATTTAATTTTAGGAACTTTCTAAGTATGTATTGTATTCTACAAACAATTACGAATAATTTGATACCTTTGCAAGAGGTGTGCTTTCAGAATAAACTAACTTTTAAAGATAAAATATTCTGCTATCTTGAGCGTAATTTTTGTTTCAAAAACACCTTAATTGAAGGCACATTTGGAAAATACGTCGAAACGATCTAAATCTTTCTATAACTGCTAGTTCTGATAAAATTACATACACCTGTAAAATGCTTCAAAAAATTTGTCTCTAGAAGTGTGTATAAGCCCTGATTTACCAATTTTAATTATGCTTCTTCTTTTAGTCAAAATATTTCGAGAGTGGTATCAAAGCAACTTTTTTTCGACAAATGTTCTGATAGTTGCTCTTACTTAATTGGAGCCTTCTAAATTCAATGGCGTCCTCAGTTTTACCCTATTGGCTCCACTTTTCGAGATAGCGGTACTTGAAACTTTGCTTAAATTTTAACTATTTTATAAAAAAAGTCCTTGGGTTTTGAAGATATTTTACTAAAATTTTGTACATAACCGTTTTTTAATATTACCTTAACTATTCCATAAAATCATCGAAATCGGTTCACTAAAACATCTAGCTCCCATACAACTGATTGATCAGAGACGTTGTTTTGTGTTATAACTCCTCCAATTAAACAGGTTAAAATTTAGTATATGTTCAACTTAACATATAGCGGGCATACAATTTATTATTCAGATATGAAGTTAGAGTTATAGGGCAAAAACACATATCTGAGTAATCAGTTGTATTGGAGCTATATGTTAATGTGAACCTATTTCGATAATTTTAAGGAATAATTAAGGAAATAATAAAAAAACTGTTATGTGCAAAATTTTAGTAAAATAACTTCAAAACTGAGGGAGTTATTTATAAAATAGTTAAAATTTAATCAAATTTTCAAGTACCATTATCTCGAAAACCGGAGCCAATCTGGTAAAACGGGGCATGCCGTTGAAGTTAGAACGTGCCAATTAAGTGAGTTCAACTTTCAAAATCTTTGCTCAAAGTTTACAACTTGAACAGCGTAATTTGAACCCAGCTTATTCTTTTGTTTTCTATTTCATGTTTATTCCTCGTCTAGCTTTTGAAGCACTTGATGAAAATGAATTACACTTATATTAATCGATTTATTAAGAGATTACGAATAAAATTATATATAAAACATAGGTGTGCTCACAAATTTAAAAATTAAAATTTTTATTTTGAAAGTTATAAATTTTCTGCTACATTTAATTTTTTTTTAGGAAAAAAAACCACAAATCCGCTGTTGATAAACACAGTTTACCAGACTAACAAAAGAAAACTGAAAAGGACGTTCACAGTTGATAAAATTACCGAGTGTCAACCAGCAATTTACCAAAACTATTAAAATGGATGTGAAGACCCTTAAAGGGTGTTCGCATGGGGTGATTTTGCGTTCAACTCACGCAGCGTTGTACGGAAAAAAATTTGAATGTCTAAATGTTGTCTGGTGACCAACTTTGTTGAAAGCGATTAGTTGAAAGGCCGTTCAACCAAAATTAGAATGCAAAGTTGAACAAAGCAAACGCCTTTTTATGGTGAATATTTTTATATTTTTTTATAGTTTGATATTTTTAGTTATTCAATTTATTTTTCGTGCAACCCTGCGTGAGTTGAAAGCAAAATCGCCTGGTGCGAACAACCTTTTAGTGTAACATTAGCATTTATTAACTTATTAGATAATTTTGACTGAACAAATTCCCGCTCCTACTTTTCTATCTCTTTAAAATCAGTGTCAGCAGTTCAAATTAACGACTTGGTTATAATTTTAGAACCAATTTAATATAACTAAAAGCACGGTTGTAGAACAAAACAAGATAAATGCATTGTTGTATTTTGGATTACGTTTTCCTGTAAAAAATTTTTTACATACATACATATGTAATTTAGTGGAAAAACTAAAGTAAAAAATCGTCATTACGGGGGAAAAATCGTCAAAACGTCATTAAATTAAAAAAACTCCAAAATGACGACGAAATCGTCAATTCGGTAACGTTGCTTCTGAGGTAGATTTTGGCGGTCGAGGGAGCTTCTCTTGCTAAAAAGTAACTTCAAGTTTCCCCTGCAGTAATTTACTGAAACTTTCACGGATGAACTCATCTCAACGAATGGAAAAGCCCCGAACGTTTCGGCCATGCGGTTTAACAAAAAGCTCTTGGATGTTGATGTTAATCAGGCTAAATGCGACTTCAATGAATGTGATGTTAAGATAGTCGATGACACCACATAAAGCAGGCTTAAAGCTTAAACAGAGGGCTGCGTTGATCGGGATTAACTGGGACTTAATCCGGATCAACTACAGTTAATTCTCGAGTTGATCCGGATCAACGCTGCCGTCTGTTTAAGCTTTAAGCTTAGATCGGCTATTCTGTTAAGAAACAACACAACATTAATTCATATTTCTGAATTGGTACAAGAAGACATTCTGGCCATATGGCCTAAGGTGCCTAGTCAAAAATAGAATGTAAGCGCATGTAATCGCCTCTGTCTATTTTTCAGGTGATAGTAGCAAAATGCTCCCAAGGTAAATAGAGGAGAATAGGGACTGGAAGTGAATTCTCTATGGAATAATTGCAAGTTGTTTTGGTACCCAAAGAATAATATGCACGCTTAGTAATCATTTGCTCTTCCTCTTTGTAATATTTTTTACGTATGACCAAAAACTGAAAACTTTAACTTTCTCTAGAAGAAAAACTGTGATTAGTTGCAATATCCTTTTAGGGTTTTACAAATCAAACAAGCATAGGACCTTAAATGGCTGTTTGACAGTGTTATGTTCTTTTGGCGCTACAGTTGCGGGTATGTACTTACCAAATCAATACCATCTATTGTAGTTAATTTAAAGCTTTGATTTTTAGCATCTAATATCACATTAACCATTGCGCACATCTCTGAAGGTATTATATAATCGGTTGAAATGAAGGCCACGTTTTTCTTCAGCCACGATTGAAACGACGAATCTGTACGCTGTATGCATTGTTCGATCATTTCGGCAGACATCATTTTCAGGCGTTGCTCCAAATGCTGACGAAACTCCGCATCCGGCCAATGAAGATCACGGATGAATGACTGTAAGGCATCTAGTTTCCAGAAGAGGTCCTCGGATGTGGCACAACCATTTCTATATGAAATGCACCCCGACGATCACAATGGAATTATTGATTTCGATAAATTGAAATGAAAGCAGAATTTAAAATTAGAATAGCACTTAGGTATGAAGTTTAAATTATTATTTTTTCAAATTATGATTTTTTCAAAGCTAAGCATGAATTATGGATCAAAAAATTCTTGTTTATATAGTACTTGCGTGTGTGGGTGTGTAGATATTTGTATATGTATGTACATATGTATGCTTGTGGTCATAAGAGCATAGCAAGAACAAGCGAACATAAACAAGGCATTCGAAAAATTTTACTTTATTGGAAAATTTTCAATAATGGATGTAGTTAGTAGGTTATATGTTTGTAATGCATATGATATATTCCTTGAAATACATACAGATGCGATCAACTAAGTAGCATCGAAATTCAGATGATATTGTTTGCAAATTGTGTTTATTTGTATATTTTTAATAATTTTCATTTAAAATATAATTCAATCTATAACAGAAACCACACTAATAGAAGTTTCAAAGCTTGCACAAATTGCGAACAATTAATCAAACTTAAAAAAATTGTCAAAAAAATGCCAATTACCGTTGATTCTGCAACACCCTCCACACAAAAATTAAAAAAAATCAACGGTAACTTTTAACAACTTCAAACTTGCACTTTATGCGTCCAAAATTGAATGGGCTACAAAACTGCATACCCGAAAGTTTTTTAAATATTCTAATTAAAAATTTTGAAATTTTGAAGATAATTTTTTGAAGTTTGATTAATTTTATTGCAATTTGTGCAAGCTTATAAACTTTTATTAATGTGGTTCCTGTTATAGATTGAATTATATTTTAAATGAAAATAATCAAAAATAAATAAATAACATAATTTGCAAACAATATAATTTTGAAATTAGTTGATCTCATCTGTACATAAGTATATATGCTTTTAATTAATTGAACTGTAGATATGGAACTATTAACAGGAGTAAATATGTACTGGTACGTTACGTGGAATTACATATAAAAAATATGGAAAAATGACTAAAAACTCATGTTTCTATGGTTTCTTGATTAAATGCAGAAGGTCTCTGGGTTTTTTTTTGACAGTGGCCATCAGTATTTTTTCAAATTTGAGCCTAAGAATTCCATTACAAATTACAAAAAAATTAGAAAACAAAAATATTATATAAAACTATTCAGGGGTCGTGATAAAAACAGGCATAGATAGAAAGATGAAATGAATTTACTGAAAAAAGTCAGCTATGTATATATATATTTGTCTTAACACATGATTTGGTAACTATAACAAAACATATTTACATAGTTGACGTAACTAAACTCTTTTCTCAGTATAGAGATTTTTCGCGTTATTTTGAATCTTTTCTCAAAGCTTCTACATTTTTAGAATTTTTTTTGGTGTTCGGGACTTCTCTCAGGCAGTTCAGGATTTTTGTAGAACTCTTGAGTTTACAGAACTTTCCGAGAATTTTTGTATTTAATTCTGGACTTTTACGAGTATTTCGGTATATTTCTGGTTTAACGATACATTTCAATCTTAAAATAGTGATAAAAAGCAAAAAAGTCTTGTATTAACTTTTATCAATTTGACCAAGTCGATTTCTTTTGCGGTTTGCTCTTAAAAAGTAAATAAAAAGATAAAATGCAAATTTAACATGCTATTTTTGAAACAAAAAATCGCAAACATTTTCGACACCTTCCGGATTTTCCCGAAAACGTTCGGAACTTTATTCGGAATGTTTCGAAACTCTTTCGAATGTTTCGGGATTTTTCGCATTTCCGAGTTGGATTCTGGATTCTTCGGAATTTTTTGGAAATTTAACTTAAATGTTTATAAACTCCTAAAAAAAGTTCTTTTATTACTTAAAACAATAAAAGGCAATTGTTAATTACTTTGTTTGTATATGATAAGCCGCGGTGTATAAATTTTAAGTAAATTAGCGTCCATAAATTTCGAAATATTGAAATTTCAAGCATTTCTGAAATTTACCGTTATATGAAAAGCGGCCGTAATTTTAGGCCGATTTTAACAATTTTCCACGGTTTGCTTTTATGTGGCAAGCACAATAACCGTACCGAGTTACACATATGTGATCATAAGTGGGTGGTGCCACGCCCATTTTCCAAAATTTTATCACAAACATATTTCTTTGTTAAGAATTGTTGTAACCATCAATTTTGAATAAATTAGCTTTAATATTTACTGATTTATCGAATATTTCGTATTTCTCTAAATTACCGTTATATGAGATGTGGGCGTGGTTATTGTCCGATTTCAAAAATGTTCGGCCATTTGGTATGCTATACTAGGACCAATAACTGTGCCAAGTTTGGAAGAAATTGGTGCAGCTGTTACCAAGATATACACATGTAACCATAAGTGGGCGTGGCTACGCCCATTTGCCAAAATGTTTTAATATTCTTATTTTTCGTCTAAAACTCATTGTAAATATCAATTTTGAGTGAATTACCTTTAGCAGTTACTAAAATATCGCAGTTTTCGTATTTCTGAAAATTACCGTTATATGGGAGGTAGGCGCGGTTATTGTCCGATTTCGCCCATTTTCAATGCCATCCGTCCTACGCCCAAAAGAAGTCCATGTACCAAGTTTCGTTAAGATATCTCGATTTTTACTCGAGTTATCGTGTGCACATACGGACGGACGGACGGACGGACGGACAGACAGTCACCGCTTAATCGATTTCTCTTTTCATTCTGATCATTTATGTATACATTTGTCTATATCTATCTCGATTCGTTTTGCCTGTTACACACAACCGTTATGTGAACGAAGTTATAATACGCTTGTCCACAAGTGCGCTCGGGTATAAAAAGTTTCTTTTAAATCCCAAACTCCTTAGTTTTGGTATAGAAACAACCTTAGTCAAAGCATATGAAATTGCGGTGTAAGGACTTGCTTCACTAGCCAATTCGATTAACTTCACTTTTCGATAAGTCTTAAATTTTAAGTGTTAAAGCACTTGGTATAGTCATAACCAGGGACCGTAACGGTTAAAACTTTTATTAAAAAATTACTTTTACATAATTTTTTCTGAGTTTTATTCATTGTTTTATTTATTGCTTGGAAAAGGATCGTTATTTTTTTATTTTATTTTTTGCTCGGAAAATAGTCGTAATTTTTTTTTGTTTTTTTTTTGCTCAGAAAATAAAAAGCTAATTTTTAAATTAGGTTTTGATTGATCTTCGATAAACTATATTATGTTGTAATTTACCTTTAAGTTTTAATTAAATTTCTCTATTCTCGCATCTATCAAGCAAAATGGGGCATCATTGGTTTGGATGCTCTTACATTGTTTTTTTTCCTTTTGTTTTCGTATACCTATTTATGTATAGACATCCATGAAAAAATTTGAGGACCAGGTGATCTACTGGGACATAGTTTTAAAGTATGTGCAAAAGGATCAAGTTGCATACTAGTAACTCGTTAAGCTGACCTGGACCACGTCAAACGTAAAAAAATCATATCGTCGTTTAAAGTACAAAAACAGCAAATGTCAGTTACGCGGTTTTGCAGAATGACGATACGCGGTTTTGTACTTTAAACGACGATATATGTTTTGAACACCACCTCTTGCCAAATGTTAATATTAGTAAAACGAATTTTAAGAAATTGCATTTAAAATAATGAATTTTAGTATTTAAATTTGAAAAGTACACTCATTAATTAAGGAATATTCGATTTTTACAAAATCCTATGAAGTTCAGTGGTGGTTCTGCAGGTGGTCCTATGTTTTGCGGCGGTGGACCAGAGGTGGTGAGTTCCAATGACGTCGAAATGTTAATGTAACCATTTTATCTCCATATTTTTGGACCATTTTGGTTACTAGTGTTGGTTACGGAAGTGTGGTCCTGTACTAGTATTTAATGTAGTCCCACTTTTTGCATTCGTTTCATACACACATATTGGAATGGTATCGGACTGGACAGTTAGGTCGGTTGGTAGGCAAGTTTTTTAGATGTATATAAAAACGACGTGTAAAACTACATAAATTGCACTGAATAAGTAATAAAGGGAAAATTTTCGGGAAGCAAGCAATTGTGTTGAAGTTTTCTTCCATCGCTGTGTTGCAGCCCATATTGCTTAAAGAACCTCCCTAAAGATCCAACATATGGTGCCTCCTGTGAGGACAGTGCGCTGTGATTTAGTACTCGACAATTATCGGTTCCGAGGATTTTGACGGATCGTTTAGTGCAGAAACAGAATTGTCAAGGTAAGTGCTTTGATATGCCTTGTACTCTGGTGGAAAAATGTCGGGGGCAGACACAGTGTTGTCGTTCTAGCCCTTGGGTGGCTAAATTTAGCTACCACATCCTTTTTTTGGCCACATAAATTTAAAATTGCCCCTAGCCCTTTTTAGCCCTCTGGAGAATTTATTCATACATGGCATGAAAAAGTTGTATATGCTTAATTTTATCTCATTTGTTTTTCATTTATGTAAGAGATGTATTTTTAAACTAAACAAGACTAATATACAGATGTATATACATATATGTATTGTATGTTCCTTACGTTTTTATACATACTGTAAAAGTGTTAGGGCTGTTAACTTATCTATTAACGATTTAACTATAGTTTAAAATAGATAAGTTTACGGCCCTTAATATGCTTAATTTGTTAAATGGCCCATCAGGTCGATTGACCGTGTATGCAGTGTTGCCGCGAAGCATTTTTAGTTAAAAAAGGGCTAAAAAAGAGCTAAAAACAAAGTCGTTGTGGCTAAAAATGGTAGCTAAAATTGTTTACTTACATAATCATATATACACACCAGAAACCTTTTCGTATAAAAGGGGAAATATACGACACCAGCTTGCTGGATCGATCAAGTAATTGTACCATCAAGCTCGAAGCGTATAACTTACCAGCATGCTGGTACAATATATATTTCTTTACAAATAAGGTCGAGAAAAGATCGAAATGATTTGAGCCGAAATTTCATAATTTTTCTACCATTTTGTTAAACATTGTTTTTTTTTTAATTCA